ATTCCACTTGCTTCTCTGCATTTACCATGAAGGAATCAAAGAAGAGCTGAAAGAGCTTGGGTAGTCCTACAACATATCACCTTTTCTTGAACCCACACTTATGTATATGCTTAGAAATCTGAGTTGCCCCAACATTTACCCATGAGGTCAGTGGCTTATGATCCAGCCCTGATAAGGCTGGACTTCTCTAAGTCTTAGTACATTATTTATAGCACAGGTAAGGCACCTAACAGGGCTGTAATAAGGGCTAGTGCTTCCCTGAATTCTCAAGCTACATATATATTAGTGATGTATATGTGCCACAGTGCCCAGGAATAGCATGGGACAGTACTAGATAGACCAGGCAAAACCCCAGGAATTCTGCCAAAAAGCAGCACAGGCAGCTAATACATACCTGTGCCCTGGCACTGCTTTCATTTACTAATAACAATATAACTTCTCTGTAGTAAGATACTCCAAAATGTATTGAAAAGGGAGAAATCTTGAATAAAGCATGCATAATACTACCCTGGCTCAGGTAGTGCACAATAGTTGCTGCTATGAGTGTAAGGGTCTACAGAATTGTCTGTTCATGGTCAAACAATACTGGGAAATCATTCTTCATGCAGCACTGAGTTTTCTGTATTCACGTCAGGTGGACATCTCAGAGAGCAGCTGCACAAACATGATTGTACCAGCAGTGTAGAAGAGCCTCTGCTTTTTGTGTATCTGGTAAAGTTCTGCAAAGCTCAGCAGTTTTCAGGCTCACTGCAACTCCTTTGAAGATTTCCTGTTTTACGCTTTGTATGAACTTTGAGTTTGGAGTTTGAGCACACCCAGCAATTCTGATCCCTTTATGGGGACTATCCTGTACCTCAGGTTGGACACATGTTTACAGATCTTGATGAATTGGGACTCAGTGGGAAAACTTCAGAGAGAAGTGTGAGCTCAAAGGTTTAAAACAGAGGAAACGGGAAACACTGCTTCGGTCTGACCTGTGTAAGTCTGTGAACCCTGGTCTTAATTATTAACATTGGGCAAGTAACATTGTGGACAAGTGCAGCACATAACTCTACCTTTAACCAGCTGTGGATGATTTAGTCCTAAAGAAAACTCCCTTTTACCCCAAGGTAGTAGAGGCTGGATTTTGCTGTAGGTATCAGATTTCATAGCTTTTGAGAGTCTTTCATTATCTTATAATTTATTGTAATAATACAGACTTGTGTGGTTCCTCTGAATCTGTCTGGTCATAAAAAATCTCTTCAACTTTCTGACATATGACATAAGTGTATATATTTGTATAAAATATCAACTTTTCATCTCATGGTTTCTTTGCTGCCTTGATTATGGTTTGCAAGGCAGAATTTCTGAACCTTTTCTTGTTATATTAAATCTGTATGAAAGTCTAAAAGATTTCCCATGATCAAAAACCAGCTTATATTGGATAATGGTTTAAAAAATATGCTATATTTGTGCTAAAAACATCCACAAAACCTTGTCAGAGGTTCCAGTGGAAGACTATGGTCTGTCCTTGCCAAGCATAATGTTTTGGTTCCATCTCAATCTAGAGACTCATACAGCATAGAGACAAAGGATTCATTGTGAGAAAACCCAAAGTTCTGGAATATAGATAGAAATGAAGATGGAAATTTCCTTATTGAAGCAGCATGTTATACAATTTGTGATGACTGTGTGGAGTCACTGCTTCAGATTTATGTCCCCTCTGGAATACCTATTTGTAGAGCACCGACAGCTCTTGGGCATTTTGGTCATAAATAACATTACCTTCATGTGTATAACCAGGACCAGTCACTTATTAAGATGTCATCAGAGTATTTGACAATGACTATAGTATGAAGGTTAAATCCATCTCTGCATATAATTACTAAGCACTTTACCTACAGATATAGGTACATGATGATTATGTTCATTTCAATGTAATAAATAAGGACAACCTACTTTTTTGGAAATCTGACTTAGATGGGACCTGTGACCAGGGATGTGGAGATCAATGTACTTTAAATATTGGAATTCTTAGTGTTAGGCATGTGCTTTATGTGAGGCAGATGCTTTCAACATTCTTTTTATGAAATAATTGCCAACTGATGTATAATGACAAGCAGCCATTTGTGCTTGTGACCAGTAGGAGGCTGTGCTATGCCTCAGACAGCAGTGAGCATATTGTTCCTAGGATACAAGGACTTTCTCCGTGTGTTGGGGTACCAAGAATGTCTTCCTCTTTTCTCATCCCCAACAGATCAGGTGCAAATTTCCCGTGAAAGAGGTTGGTTCAGTCTGAGGCTTATCCCTCAGAGAAAGACAGAGAAACCAAGTGATTGGTCAGAAGCAGTTTGTGCTGAAAACTTGACTCAGAAAATACTTAATGCTCCTGGAAAACATGGTGAATTTTGTTCTTGCATTTTCTCTGGCATCTGAGACATATTTAAGTGCCTTTTGTGATATCTGTGGTATCTCAAAAAGGCAAGTAGTGGTAGGAAGTGTTCAAATGACCTAGCTGTGAAGGTTGACAGATTTAGGGGACGGGAATAGAGATTTTTTTGCCTACACTAGATTTAGCTATTTACAATGTAAGCATCTAGTGTGTACTGGTTGGCTAAGCTCCCATTCAGCTGGAGATCTGGACCAGACTGTTCAACCAATGGATTTTAGAGAGAAATTCAAGTCACACTAATGTAGATGTCTATGCTAGGCCTGCTTAATTATAATGCAGATTTCACATCCTATACAAATGAGATCCCTAGAAGACTATAGCAGAAGATATACACCTGGCTGAAATGGAGACACCTACATGTAGATGAGTAGAGTTAGAATTTTGGGCCAGAAGCTGGATCTGACCTCAGCTTCTTTACAATAGATGGAAGAGGAATATGGTCTCAGGTCAGCCTCTGGGTCTGGCAGTACTCATCATTCCTCAAGCACAGACATGAGAGGAGGCTGTCTGATTCAAGCCTAGGGAAGCACCTGTGTAGGATCAAGACCTGTGCTCTTCTAGGTGCCCATCTTCAGTCTAACACTTACTGCCTACAAGCAGGCATGAAAGAAACCACTGACTGACCCAGGAGTTGCCTATAGAAGCTTTGTACTCCAACATACTGAAGTAAAACAGAGAAAGAAGGATGGGAGCTGTACCAGTTGACAAATTTTGTAGCTGGAGCCTTCAGCATTTTACCCCAACTGTTATTTCTTCTTTAAACATAGGATTCCTTGCAGATTAACTACCTTGTATCACGTTTTCTTTGCGTGCATGTAATAGGGGATTATCTGTTTTTCCACAAGCCTAGGTAGCCCATTAAAATCCCTCGTATAAATAAGTATGTCTTCCTTTGTTTGCAAATGTAGTTAGGTATTTTGGAGTATGTGTGTATAAGGGAAAGTATACCCAGACATAGGTGGTATGTGTGTGTTCATATCACTGCATGAGAGCAAAAGTGGGGTTGTCTAGATGTGTTTGTATATGCATAGATTGCACACAGGTAGGTGTGAGCATAAACACGAATGTCTGTATTTGCGTACCAGGCGTTATCCTTGCCTCTCCTCACCCTCCAACAGAGAGATGGAAGAGGTGGGATGGTGGATATTGTGGATTCCATTCAAAGTCTGAGGGACTAAACATTAGGTACCACACCACCACCTGGCTGGTAGATGCTTCATGCTCTATCAGAATCTTAATAACTAAAAGATGTTGGGATGTTGGGGCAGAAAAGTTGTCTGTCCAGCTAATGAATGAAGAGTGGCTCAGCTGACTGTGCTCAGGAATATGTAAGATTACTGTAAAGTTTTATAGGCCTAAAAAACCTGTTTGGTGTTATGGTCTGTAAACAACTCTCTGGAACAGTTCTTTACATGTTGATTTTTTGAGGTATCGGCTGATGTCTAGAAAAAAAAATCTGTAGCCTCAGATAGTCATGTATTCCCCTCTGTGGTCTGAGCAAAGACAGGAGCACACCTAGGATATTTCATCACACTTATCATTGATAAATATCTTAGATGAACCCACTATTTCAAAGTGGCCCACTGGAAGTTCCCATCTCACTCCTAACAGTAAAAAAAAGCCTAAAGCAAAAACATAAAATTGCACAGCAACTCCTGGGCTAATAAATCTTTCTGATCCCAAACTGTCTATACACTTTTACTCATAACTTGGGTAATATTCTGATGAACTTTGGACTTGGTGTGCATGTACCATGGGTTCTTGTCTTCATAACAGCTTCTTAGGCTGTCTACACCAGTAAATTAAATATTGCTAGGGCATGGGTACAGGAACTGAGTCTAAATATATCAGCAGTCTCTGGTTCTTTGGTCTGAGCCAGCTCACATTCTCTCAGACCTTTCCAGGGTGTTGTTCAGGGGTTAGTGCAATGAGACCATTCCAGTATCTAGACTGCTATGAGGCCAGTCTGCTTTGGAGGCCAAAGAGTTCACAGAATCACAGAATCATTAAGGTTAGAAAGGACCTTCAAGATCATCAAGTTCACCTGTTAACCCAACACCACCATGCCCAATAATAGTTAGAGTTAATAGTAGGGTCATGGTAATGTGAGGTAAAATGGTCTTAGTAGCACAGAGGAGGCTCTGGAACTATTTAGTTAATTGGTAATGATGCAGCTTAACTGTTCCTCCTTTTATTGCTACTTTGATTTGTCTACATTGTCATTATGGCTCCACATTTGAGTTTCTACATTTCTGGACCGTCCACGTTGTTGTTGGCTGTGATTTGGCTTACATCTAGAGCAAGGCAAAATTCTGGCCACATGGGGAGATTTGGTCAGAAGATGTAGAAAATGATTTACTCAAACCCAGACTGTGGCCCTAGAATTAGGATGAATGCAACTAGCCTGAACAGCATTGCTGGGCAAATGAGCGTTTAACAGCCACAGATAACAGAATATAGACAATTATCATAGTCTTCCAGGTAAGGGAACAAATAACATTATAGCATCATATGTAGTCTTTACCAAAATTATGAATTTTGGGTAGTTGTTCCTCTTTCAAAATCATACCTGAAATGTGTTAAATGTCTCTGGATGTCGAGGTCTAATATTGGAGTAGGTCTGGAGGATCCGAGGGGTGATCTGTCTTGACTTAGAAGGTCTTGGAATTCTTTACATATTTGTCTGAAAGGAAAATAGAAATTCTTAAATTAGACAGGTGTTATCCTTCCCATAAAGCTGATTCCCATAACACTGTCACCTTATCCTGACCTTATCTCATTCATAAGAGAAATGTTTGACAGAGGCATTGTTAAAGAAATTAAAGGCAAACAAATCCACCTTTTGACTCCCTACCTCAAATTCTCAGAGCCAGCAACATACAGAAACTCTTGAAGAGCAATTCCCCTCTGAAGCCATGTTAGCATTGGCATCTTAAAATGTGATTTCTCTCCTGAATTGTACCCAATTTGGCAGTGTTAAGTCTGGTTTAGCTCAACTATGTTAGAAGCAATGGTTATGGTTAAAGAAAACAATGAACTAACATTAGAACATGCCTGAAGACTTTGTTTAAATATGCCACTAGTTGTACATCTGTTTGTGTGCACTAGTTTAACTGCAAGTAAAAGTCCTGGCCATTCTGGCCTTGTCTTCTTGTCCCCCAGCTCTTAAGACAAGTGGAACACTAGGAGTTGTGAAGAAAAATGCTACCTTTGCTCTGGTGGCTTCCATTTGTGTCCATACACTGCTTCCTTGTAACATCTGAGGCAGAAGAACTGATGAATCCTCAACTGAGACCTCTCCCACAGGTCTGTCCAGCATAAGAATTAATTCCAGAGGCAGCTATTTAAATTTCTTATTGAAACATTTGTTATACATTTCAACCATGTATCAGGCAGCCTAAAGTAGATGTCTATAGCAGTCCAGAGGACTTGCATCCTAACAGTGACTCTCTCCAGTGACTGTAGGAGGAACTCAGTTTACACGACAGATAAGCAAATGAGGCAAATCCCATCATCTCCACTTTTTCTCTGTGATGGTTTCCCAGGTAATACACACTTTCAGTAGGTAGGAACTGGGACCCCAGTTTGGCATCTTGCAATGGGAACTCGGGCACTGTCTTGCCTGATCTCCCACCAGCATAGTAACACTTCTTTGGAAAGGATGGATGGTCTTGCTGTCTTCCCTCTCCCTCTGCTTCTCAGGATGCCTCAGCACCTGGAGGTTAAAATCATCCCCTAGGATAACTCTATATAGGATCTAATACTAAGAGAGACCTGAAAATAAGTTTTTTTTCATTCTTGTGATATTGTTGTTTTGGGCTAGTTTGCAAATGGAATGTTCTACCAATGTGGATTTTTTTAAAGAAATCAAACAGGGTCCATCTAGTGCATGCCTACAGAAGAGTACTATCTGGACCATGGAAGAGTAGAGACACCACTTATTTTCAATTAGTTTATGATACAGTTAATTAATAAAAGCAGAGGTGTCTGGATTTCTCTTTCAGGACTTCTCCAAATGAGCACACCATTCTCGATTGACTCTATTAGAACAACAGGCCCTTAATGTGGGGTCAGGAGGGCATGATGCCCACTAGATGGTCAGAACACTCAGTTTGGTTGCCTGATACCAGCCTGACACTCAGTTGGATTGACCTAATACTTGTCACACTGACTACATGTAACCTAATAAACAGTGCCACCGAGTAAATGCTCACATCCTCATGCCAGTTGTCACCTTCTGGTAAGGTCCATATATTTATGTTCTTCTGGCCTCCTAAACAGGGTGGCATCCTAAGAATGGACCCTGGTGTGGGCTAACTCCCAGGACATGCCCAGAAGATATTTGTGACAGTTCAAGGAGCCATTCTAAGGCTTTAATAATATAGACAATTGCAATCTGATGACTCAGCGTGTGCATGCTTTACTTTGTTAACATAAATGGAATTACTTGTGCCTGGGGCTAGTGTCTATTACTAAAGAGCATCCCTCTGATCCATGATTTCTGTTAGAAGACTCTTTGTACATCTGGTCCTAGAAAAAGTTCAAGTTCTTCATTATCACCTTGTAACTGTTGTCCTTTGGGACAGGGGCATAATAGAAAATAAGTGGGTAAACTCAGCTTCTTGGTCTCTAGAAGGTCCTCCATTGCCCAGTTACAACCAAGGAAACTAGACCAACCTGTTTTTACCCTTCATTATATCACTGTTCTGCAAGTTTTGGACATAAACTTTGGATACCACAGCTCTCTCCTGACTAAGTGGAGAGGAGATGCAGAAAATTGCTTCCTGCTGTGCTGCTGGACTTCATCCAAGCCTGATTTCTGTAAACGCTTGTCATCTGCATGGACCTAGACACCGACTGCTTGAAAAGACAGCATCGTCTTAGCCTTTCAGGCAAAGAGAGGTATTCAGCAGAAATATATGTAAATGCAGCATACAGTTTTAATGAATCAGGTCCTTAGAGGAAAAACACTTCCTTTCAACAACTGAAAACAGTCAGTCATTTTGGCTTCTAAACAATCTACTATCCCCAGTCGCTCTTCTCTCCTTCCTCCAACCTCTACTTTCTACCTGTTGAAAAAGTTCACCTTAAAAGTTTGTATATTTTGACAAGGGAAAGTGTCAGAACCAAGTGTGCAATTAAGTTCCCTTCTATCTTCACATGTCAAAAGTCTTTACTGAGTGTTGGCAGATTGAAAGAAAACAAAAAAACTTTTTCACTCTACATGAAAACCTGTAAAAGGCAGTAACCTACTTTTTTTCAAGGGGATTTCCAGGCAAAGTGGTGTCTCAGAGCCTCCACTACCAATAAAACACCACCTGGGGAAGTGACAGGGAGGGGGTTGACAGTTATTTGCTGAGTTGGACTGTGACTTTGAAAAAGCAAAGAATTATGGTTATGCTTAAGGGCCACACATTAATTAAAAAAAGAGCCCTGGTCACTCCTGCAAGGGAGGCAACTAATGATTTGTGATAGATGGTCAGATGTTCCAGTATATTATCAGGAAAAGATAAAAATTTTTGTACTGGATCAGAACAAGAGCCCATCTAGTCCATGATCCTATTGCCAGCAGTGGCCAAAGCAAATGCCTTGTGAAGAGTACAAGACTGGGGCAAATGTGTGCCCATGAGTCTGATATATTCCAAGTGTGGCAGAGCTGCCAGGCATCCAAAGATCAGGTATCAGAGAGATGTTCACCAGGTCCTGTGCATCCAGTCTCAGAGCTACTTTTCAGAAAACCAGCAAATTGAGCACATAGTGTCATGAGCCCCATGTTGATTAACCTGTACTGGCTGTAAGCAACCCTACAATAAAATTGTTATTCACACTATTCTGTTTTGGTCCCTGTAAATGTGTGTATATCTGTCGCTCTGTCTCATGTGGAAGACCTCGTCTTGTGATACTCTGTGATGTTTCCTGTAGGACAGTGTGCCTCTCCATCAAGTGAAATTATTGACGTGGCCTTCATCAGTTTTGCATCTGTATCTATCCTGGATGCAACCTGATCAGGTTCTGTCCCCTGTTGTAAAGCCATTCATGGTCTCTCACAGCTCTGCAAGATGAACTAACCCATGCTTAAAGACCCTCTGAAACCAGGTCCTAGATTTTTCTTTTTTGTTTCTGTGTGGATTGCATAGGCTTGTGCTGAAGCTTTCTAAGAGTCTAGGGTTAACAAACCAGTATCAGCACCCTTTGGCCAGAACTATAACAATTCGGTCTTTTTTTTAAATCATTTTGCTCTGGAGTGTCCAGACAATCATCTAGTCAGTCAAAGGAGGTGAGTGGAGAGAAGGAGAATCATAGGTGACTGGCTTCTCCCATTGTTTAACCGTTTCTTATCCTTTCAGCTCTTAATCAAAGCTTGCTTCACTCTCATCCTGCCCTTGCTGTCACTTGTGTTCAGCGTTGTGTACTGGATACACAGCTCAATCATCTCTTCCTCCCATGACAATTGTCATGTAAGGCTCTGATTCTTCATTGTCTAGACCATCAAACTTTTAGAATAGACCATGACACCGCCTTGTTACATCAACTAGTGGATAGTTTTGGAAGATCAGGAAGATATTTGGAAGATATGGTTTGTTCCATGATAAAAAATGGTCTTGATTTCATTCACTATATTACTGTCAACATAGCCTCAGGCCAGGTAGGACTGAGCAGGGCAGTGAAGGGAGTGTTACCTCAAGTGGCAGTCTTTAGTCTTCACTAGCCCATGGGCCACAGTTCTGTGCATGGCAGCTGAACTGCTTCCATTCAGGGTGGCTGGATTGCTTTGGCTGGATTGCTTGATTACAAGGTATAGATGTCCTTGATAACAATGGGAGCTTCTACTGGACAGCAGAGATTTCTGCATTGTAGACATTATGGGCTCTATTTAGTTACCCACACATAGAGAGGTAGTACCCAAGACATCCATAGTAACTGGCAGATACAACACTAAAAAAAGAGATCTGTGTGCTTCTGGAGCAGCAGTTGGTAACCAAGCTGGATAACCCAGTTAATCTCAAATGGCAGTAGGTGCTTATGTTTGGGCAACTGAATCAAACCACTGAAGTTGGATGTCTGAATCTAGAATGGAGTTTCAACTATATCTTGTGTATTGTGGAAATAATTTTGTTCTTTCCCCTTATTCTTCCTCAAGACTCCACATGTGGAAGATCTCACCAGTTCTAGACTTCTACGTCTGTCCCAGCGTGGATAGTGGTATCCACACACCGGCAATGGCACACCAGTTCTTTCCATAGGCAAAGCTTGCCATGAGTGATTCTAACACCCTGGAATTTCAGTGTTGTTTTTGATGACAGCATAACAATCCACAACTTCTTACGGTGTCATAACTCACAAGCGCATAAGGCAAGGCAGTTGTGAAATTACTGAAATTACAAACCTAGAGCTTATATATGTCTAGTGAATAATGGAAACTCCTGACAAATGAGTATCTACTATCAGACACATGGAAGCATGGCTGGGAAATACCATGCTAGTATTACGATGTCATGGACCTGTGTTGCCTGTAGTAGTACCTGCACAGGACTGATCTGGGATTCACTGTTCTCCTTCCAGGCAGGAGAGGGCAGCAGTAGCACAGACATTGACCCATCTGTCCCTGTGGCAAGCACTCTGACTGCAGTAGGATATGGTCTGTCCTTGCATTATCGACAGACCTCTCTGATCAATTTGCTGGTGCTTTTAATGGATGGAAGGGAGAAAAAACCCAAACACACACATTTTATTCCTTACAAGTGCAGGTTAACAGCCTACAAGCCCAAAGATCATGGGAGTTAGAAGTAACACATGTCCATGACTCCCCACCTCAACAGTAAAGGAGGGTGAGAAAGCAGGTATGGAGTGGTGAGAAAGGGTAGTGAGACTCTTATGTGTACTTCAGTGGGACAGCCTTTGGAAGTAGGACATGACAGTTACTCACTGATTATTACAACCCATGGTACTGTGATCTCTCCCTCAAGCCAGAAAAGAAGGGGGAAGATTTCTATCATTATGGTTGAGTAACGTTTTATAGATGGGGCAAAACCTCCAGGTGGGGCAACTGTCAGTCTTAACTCTTGTTTAGATTTTGCTGCCCAATAGTAGAATCAGCTTTTCTGTAGTTGGGGGGGCAGATTGTTACTGGGCTATACAGCAATGGGGAGATACAACTTGCAGAGAGATACTTCTCACCAGCTGGTTTATTCTCATGTTTCTGAAAACCCCAGGTCCTTAAAACAAGTGTGGATGTAGGTAAGAATAAAATTGTCCCTACAAGGGTCTTTGGAGCATGATGAGTGAGGTCTCTCATCACCTTCACAAGTGGCAAATGCCTCCTGAGCCACATGAGTCTCTGCCTAACACCCCAGGGAAGGATCACAGGCTGCATTTCATGGTGTTCACAAGTCTGAGATGTTTTAATGCATGTTTCTGGGTCACCTTCAGGGCGAGGAGCTCTGGATACAAGAGGGATGACAAGGCTGGAAATCCTGTTCCCCACAAGTAGATAAAGCACAGGGGACAGTCCTGTGGCTGGTCAGCCTTCTCTCCTACTACAGTGTGATTCCTGTTTGTCAGATATATCCCAGCCTGGATGATTCCCAAACACTTCCAGCACTGGGGAAAAAAGGCGGACGGTGGTTTGAGAGCTCAGGTTTCTGTCCTCAGCTCTCCTGCAGCCTCACTGCGTGTGACGCAGCAGTAAGTGCAGGAAAGGTATGATTATATTTAAGGCTGCCCCAAGCAGGCATACCACACACCTAGTGTAGGTCTACGTTGTTCCATGCAGACTATTTATTCCTGTTTCCCATGGCTCCTGAAGGCTAATTCCTCCCTCATCAAGGCTAATTAACCTAGATGACATGTTATCTTAACATGATGTTACTGCTCCAGGGAGGTGAGTGGCTTGTTTAGAGCAAAGTCAGGTGTCTCTGTGTGTCTTTAATGGATTTAGCGAAGCTCCCCTGCTGGTGTACATTGTTCCAGTGCCTTTGACTTCATGGGAACTCTTGTAATTTCCATCCAGAGAGGATTTGTCCTCTGCAAACCAGTTCTCCCTCAGCAGACTAACGATAATTATCCCACAGTAACTGGTACTTCGGTATGAGCTTAGATCTCCTGCTCTTATGCAAAGAGGAGACAAAGCCATTTCCTGTCCTATAGATCTTACCATGTAATAATGTCCCCTCCTCTCATCTAAACCAAAGCATCTGAGATGGTGTACATGCCTCCTTAACGACAGGCAATGAGAACATAGCCACTAAAACCTCATTACAGTAAAAAAGGTTCCTCTCACAGCATCTCTAGAGAAGATTGCTCTCACTTGCTGTCAGTGAGTACTGTTGTGATAGCAGTCACCACAATCCCAGCTCCATACTCCCACTCCTCCCTTCCCCAGCCCCCAGCTCCAAAATGGTGAAGTGACAGACAGATTTCTCTTTTAGTTTCCCCTCCCTTCTTACTTTGTCGCTAGGATCATCTTTTTCCTCGCTGTCTGCTCTTTCTGTTCCATGTGCTGTCTGGCAATGTGCTCTCCTACTGCCTTGGCAGGGAACTCTGTTTCGCAGGTGTAGCCGAAATCTCTGGCCAAATGTAGTGCTTCCCCTGTGGGCAAACAAAACAGGTCAGTTATTTTTTAGGGTTATTATCATTAGGCTTACAGAATTTCTTCCACTATTAAAAAAATAATAATACAACAACAAATCACTTCTGTAGACATTCATTCCCAATCTCAGTTACAGGTTTCAGCCCATTTGGCCTGCTCATGCTTAGTCAGCCAAAGATAGGGAAGTTAGTCCTTTCATGAGAAAATACTAGTCAAGACCCTTGGGTTTAGGTCCCACCCCTGCCACCAGTGAGTACTGGGAAGCTGCTCAGATTTTGTAAGCCCAGTTCATCATTGATATTTAAGGCATGGAAATTAGTGGAAGGTAGGAATAAATCACTTGGAAGAGCTGAGATTCAGCCTTTGGTGAATATCTCTATCTTTAAAGGAAGAACAGCTTTCTACCCCAGGACAGAGCTGTGGGGGTAACATACATTTCAGCATATTTGCTTAAGTGTTAAGCCAGCACGCACGATACAAGTGCCCCACACTAAAGATGAGCAGACATCAAAGTAGAGCACAAGAAATAATCCTGTTTCCAAAAAGATTGCAATCAAAATTGACCAGACAAAATACAAAGGGATGACAATGAAGATCACAATTGCTGTTTTATAGGTGGGGAAATCAAGACAAAGGGAGTACATGGCTTCATCAGGCTTTCTGCAAAGTCTGTGACAGAAGCAGGCACTGAGGACCTCTCTACCTCACTACAGAGATGGGACACCATAACCCAACTCCATGCTGGGTGCCAAATACCTCTGGGGGAACCTGTCCCTCTCCACTAGCTTAGACAACCCAGGAATTCATTTTAGGGTTTTCTGAGCACTCTGGCCTGCGTGCTGTGACTCTGACAACCTTGGTGTGGGATTTATCTGATCAAACACAGCTGCCTGGAGTGTGAACATCTGTGCCTAAGTTAGTCTTTCCCTGGTGGGAAATAGGCACTTCCAGATGACACTTGCTCTCATCTCATTGTAGAAGGTAGAAATAGGTCAGAAGTGTATGTTGAAGAACATCTGCATGAGTGACTGAGAGATGCGCTCCGGAACAGTTTTGGCGTTAGGGTGTTGTGGGTTTTTTATTTCATTTGTCTTTTTTTTCAGAGTTGTGTATTTGGTTGCCATCGGATCCTGGCTCTTTGGAGACCAGGCTGATGTTCCAGGTGAACAGTTAGGAGGGGTGCAGGACCTGTAACACTTCCCTTTGAGAACATGTGCAGTGGAAATCCTCTGATTAACTGTCAGTACTGACATCTGACCTAATACTTTCAAGACAATGGAGACAAGCTAAAACTTGAAGCGCGTATCATCCCATATTAAAGAAGAAGGCAAAAGTGAATCAGAGGAATTATAGAAAAGTCTGGGTTAGAAGGGAACTTTTGTTGAAAGCATGGACTTATATTAGGTTATTCATGGACTTTGAAGCCTAGTCTCGAATATTTCCAATCATGGATATTCCACAGCTTTTCTGAGGAAGTGTTCAAGTGTTTTATTATTAATTTAATTTAATTGTTAATCACCCGGAAGTGCTGATTTGTCCTTATTGACTACAATGAGACATGAGAGGACAGATACAACTATAACAGAGATGATGAGATGAATTCCATCCCCAGCAAGACTGAGTCTGCTCTGCAGAGACCTGACCAAGCCAAGGAAGATGGAAACTTCCATGGGAGCAGTGGTCCTGTGCCAGGGGCAGCATGAGGAACCACATGCACTGACCTCTATTCCAGACTGTGTTCTCCACATTTTCAGAGTTTATTGTCTCCCCTTCTATCATTTTTACCAGAAAAATATCTTTTGTTTCTACAAGCAAGTACTTTGTTGTGTTTATCTGATCTAATTGGATCTAGGTATTAGTAAAATACATGCACTACTCCCAGGGAATTTGTTTGCTAACACCAGTCAACAACAATCTTTGCAGCTGTAACAAATTCTACGTGCAAAAATTGAAGATTATACTCAAAATCACCTGTATTGTTTGGATTTTTTAAATAGGATTTCCAGTATGCCTAAAAAGAAAGAAGTTAACAAGCAACCACTATTTCTGAGTTGAAAGGAGAAATTGTTTCCACTTAGTTTACAGCTTCTGGAAAAGTAAAATAATTTTCAATGAAATTAAAATGGATTTTAGTGGTATGTTAACAGTGACTCAGAATGAACAGGAGTATTGCTGACTGCTAATTTTGTATTTAAAATGTCTATCACAGACTTCTTTATGGATTAGAAAGGGTACAAATTTAAACCATAGCTGCTAAATTTCTGTACAATTGCTTCAAAATTTCTCTCTCAGCTACACTTTTACTCTTCCTTAAATAAAGACTTAAAGAGTAAGTCAACTGCAGATGAATACCGGGTTTTGCTTTTCAATCAAACTCCATTAAAACACTTGATAGATTTGTCTTCATGCCAGCATGGAAGGCAGAGAAACCCATTGAAGCTGTCATCAGGTGGAATTACCATTCCCCAGACAGCTTTATCCTGGTTCCAGTCAGACCCAAGTAACAATGCAAGGAATGTAGTCAGCAGAACGTTTAAGCATTTAGCCATTGGAAAATTGTTGGTTTCTTCAAAAGAACAGAACTTTATGTGATGAAATGTAGGCATTTATTTAACATGGTCAATAACAAACTGATGGAAATTTATATGTTTTCACTTAATGTCAAAAAGAAAGGGAAGGGAAATATGAATTATCATTACAACTTATCTTTCCAAAGATGGTGTATATTATTTACTAGAGCTGAGAAAATTATAACAAACTGTTTTGATGATCTGAGAAAATGATACAATAGTATAAAACTTGTCCATTTTACATGGAGCTGGGATTGTAATTGGATGCTAATGGTATATGAAGAGATAAAATTATGAGCAAAATGAAACAAAGTTACTTATTTTCTTGTGGATACATATAGGTAAAAATATATATAGAAATGTACCTATTGTGAAAAAAATAAATCTACAAATGTTTAAAATATATTAAAAAAAATTTTACTGGAAATGAAAAGTTGATATATATTAGGAATGCACATTATAAGTACACATATGTATTCAAATAAGCATGCACTTCCATATGATATAATGAATAGGCATTTTAAACTACAATATCAAATTCTAAATAAAAATAGAAAATTGGACATGAAAATGTTCTGCAGAACATTATTTTTCATATCTCATTGTGGAGGAAAGATCTCATTTTGACCTGAGACCAAATGATGATGTATTTAAAAGTGGATTGTGTTATACTTCTATACATATTATTTTTTGTTAATCTCAGTGAATAGAAGTCCCTTGTATTACTGCACAGTAGGAAATAAGTCTGCTTGGTGGGGGAAAGTAGTTTCTACAAAATGTGATAAAAGATGTTCTTTCTTTTTCTGCATCATAATTTGGACAAGCATTTATTCTAGGGAGAAAATATGGAAATGTTGGAAATATTGGATGAACTGACCTCTTTCACCTCAGGTTTGCTTAGTTACTATTTATGTCAGGGAGGAGTCATACTAGAAGTAGAAACCTCTAAAATCCTTGGCTTGTACAGCCAGTTGCCTTGTTTCAGTCTAAAATCAAATTTCCCTGTGTGCGATATCTCCAGCTCTTTCCTCCTGCAGAGACAAAGAATAGGTGCTGAGCATCGACTGCTTCAACCCAGCAGACAGCTCTGCAGCTATAGGCAGCACTGCCTTTCCTATATAATTTGACAATTGACCAGAGAGCTTTGCATGATGGAGAAGGACAGTTGTTGAAGCTGAATTGGCGGAGACAGCTCTGGAAAGCCTCGGTGGAGAGACCAACCGCATACCTTGACAGGCTTCTGTGGGCAGGTGCAAGGAGCAGTGTGGGTGTCCCCTGGGTCTAGCGAGAGTGAGAGATGCCTCTATGCAGAGTGAAGGCAGAAGCTGTGTCCCAGGAGAGGGACACTCGGCATCTGAACCTCCTATTCTCTTTTCATCTTTGTCTCCTCCGGATGCTTTACCCAGAAGAAATGGTATCCAGGGGGAGAAGAGAGGTAGAAGGAAAGTTTTTTTTCTATTTGTAGGGTGAGAAGAGAGGACGAACAAGTGGAAGGATATGTAAACAAAGGCTGGTGGAGGAGAAGTGTGACAGTTGATAGCAGGGTGAAAAAAATAACCACTAACGTATTTTTCTCAAGATTTTTTGTCCCCAAATGATGAATACAGTCAATCCTATGTCTAGTAAAATTAGTGTCTTAATTAAGTTTGACAGGAAAAAAAAATCTAGATTTTTTGTAAGTGCTTTTTCTGATTTTTGTAAATAATCTGATGGCTTTAAATTCATTCATGCATTGCTTTTACCTGCATCTGCACTAACATTTATGCTATGTCTCTGCCTTATAAGTGACCTGTCCAAACAGATGGGGACATCTCCCCTCTTCTCAAATCCTTTCTTGCTCCTGCTGGAGAGGCTCTTGACTCCTTTGAGCCAGCAGTAAGGCTTAGCCTTGGCAACGCTGGTATTTAATGGAGGAGCCTTTATTACATCAGCTAAGATGTAGGAATTTTCCTTTTAGAGCTGGTAAGAAAACAGACCTTTCCCTTCGTCTAATCTAGGCACTAGAGGGCATCCCTCACCTACAGGTTGCACAAAGCGATGTCCCATACTGCTGTGGAGTCTTGCAATGCTGAGCCCATTTTCCCAGTCTGTCTTTGCACCCATTGTGCCGATTCATGTGGATAACAACGTAAAGAACAGATCTGATCTGTCAAACAGTTCCTACTCTGAGCCCCAGAAGTCCCTACTAAAGACACTAAAGATGCAACTCGACCAAAATAAGTATAACAGTAAACAGCCAGCGGCCTTGCTGAACTCCCAAAGAAGTAAGTTTGCAGAAAACAAGGGGCCACAGAATAATTTTCATAAAAGTCTGGATCTTCACATGAGCACCATAGCTTAGAAATTCACTCCAGTTCCTCTGTGGAACTTAGCAGTACACCCCAAAACTCAAAGATTTTAGTCTATTTAGAGGCAGAGAAGTCTTATGTCTTGAAAGACAGACTAAGACAGCTTTGGTCAATGTACCTAATCACCATACAACTAATTTTGCCTTTTCTTACCTCGAACAGATACTCAAAATCTTGAGCACGTTCCTACCTTATAGTGATATTAAAGGCCTTGATACACTGAAGACTGTGAGGACCTTCAGTAATAATAAACTTAGAACAATCTAAAGTAATCCAGAGTGACACAATCCTGGGTCCTTATGAGAAGTCCACACAGTGCACATGATATTTAGGGATTTAATAAAACTAATAAATCATTATGTCGATTTATATATTGACATCACACATTAAAAGAACAGTGCTGTTTTCTTCAGGTTTTCTTCTACTCTAAAACCCAGAATAAGCCTGTGCCTTTTCATTTCTGTCTCCTCCAGCAGCAGGAGGCATTGAAGGGTCTGTTTCATGCTACAACTTAGTACCACTTGGAAGTAATATCTGCATGTACAAAGGGAGGACAGTTTGTACCACACCGAATTCAATGAGCACTGCCGAGTTTGACTGAGGATTGGTTACATAGGCAGAAAATGAGCTTCATTTTGTTTTCTGTTGGAATGTTAACACACATGGTGGTGCCTTTCCCAAAAATTCCAGTAGACAAAATCTGTTATTAGGATGTCTAGGCAAACAGATCTCTGTCAAAATGAGCTCAGACTCCTCAGTATGTGTCTTTAGAACTCACATTAAGACAGTCCAAGAACAAAAGCAATACCGTAGGCTTGATAATAGGTTTGCTATTGGCTTTGACTAAAGGGCAGGGAGGAAGCACAGCTCCATCCCTGGGGAAAAGGAATCTAATTCTGACTTATTTTTACTGTAAGTAAAGATGCTTTACCATCAATCCCGGGCCAGCAATTGAAAGAGGTCTTCCTCACTCTCACTCTCTTCTAATGAATGAGTAGCTGGCCACATAGCTTTGTTTATTCTTCCCTGCTAAGACCCAAGAAGGACTCTGAGGGTAGGAACAGCCCTTACTCCTCTAAACTGGGGGAGAAAATTCCCTTTTCTAAGACTATAACTCTATTATGACTTTCTTTTTATTACAAGCAGGTGTGATACGGACACACCTGTATTTCAGAGCAGCCCCATTGTAGTTCTTTGTGCTCAGTGGCCCCTGAGAACCTCAGTCCCTTCTCTTGGTGAAAAACTTCCATTGTTGTGGATTCAGCACTCTTTCTCCATCTTTTGAGATATTAAAAACCTGACTAGGCAAGGTCCTGAGCAACCTCTTCTAATTGACCCTGCTTTGAGCAGGAAGGTTGGACTAGAAGATCAGCAGAGGTCCCTTCCAGCCTTAGCCTTTCTGTGATTCTGTGGTAACATCTGCTGAGACCTCAGCTTACTTGCCTAGGTCTGTGTAGACCTTTCAGGTTATGATTCTAGAAGGTGTTGACCTTTAGGATGAGCTGAGTGCTCTCAACACCAAGGAGCAGGAATCTGAAATTCACAGAGCTGTTACTTGCAGCCAGACAACAAACCCAGTACTTAATGGATTCACCCAGAATAGAAGAGATTCAGGTAGAGTTTCTTCCCTTTGCTTGAGGGGTTTGAACCTGCATCTCCCAGCTGAAGGTTTGAAGAGCCCAGCAGTATTTGGTGAATGATATTTAAAGTACAAATAAAGGCCAAGAAAATATCTCCTGGGCTTGTCTAGAGTTTATCTGAAAACAGATTTCATTCATTTATGTGTGTGGGGAAAAGTCTTGTCTAAATATTATGCCTTCTTATGGGAAAAAAAAAAAAAAATCACATTTGGATCAGCTCCAGGAAATTCACAAGCTAAAAAAAAGGAAGATAAACAAACCTACTTATAGTTAGTATAAGACATTCAACCCTCTCCCAAGAGCACTTGGATCATCGATTTGTAAGTCAGATCCCAGCACAGAAAGCGCAGATCAATGCTGAGGAAACTGCAGGACCACTTGCAGGTAGCCAAGACATCTCAGGGTGAACTTCCATTTTGCCACTTTTTCTGTCTGTGGCTTTAGGCAAGTCAGTTCTCCTCTTTGTACAAAATACAGATTATGATATTTAACACTCTGTCTGAAAAGTGTTGTATACAAGGAAACATTTTAATTATGTTTATATTACATTGCAATACTACAAAACCTACCTTCTACCAAAGAAGTCAAGAGTGTGACATTTGCTGCTTTTCTTCTTCCTGCAGGCAAATTCAGTCCCAGTCTGTCTAATTTTTCTCGCAAGCAGCGTCCTCCATTCTTGGATTTTGCTCTATCACAAGAGAACAGTAGGGAGAGAAATAGGTCTTTATTCTGCACTTTTTTCCCCATATTAATATAAGTCTAGAAATTGGACACACTGTATTGACAAATGTGTGGGGTAATGCCTGCACTAATGACATCAATGGAAAATCTTTGAGAGTTGTATTCTTAATGCCCTGCTTGCCCTATGTAAGTCTGCAAAGCCCAATACCTACAAGGAAGAAGGATAAGACAATAGGAACTACTGAAGCTAAAATCCCAGCCATGGTTGATTATCTATGCCCCTATTCCAAATGCCTACATCACTTTGTTCTGACAAAATGGTTCCTGGTGCACCCCACACCTGCTTTTCAGCATTTGAGACATATCCACTTATGCAGCAGATGTAGGTTCAATTACTTGCTCAGCCTGAAGGAAGTTTAACCTGTGTCTTTTCAACGAATGCAGCAACCAGCTGGCAGCAAATAATTAATTCAGCTGAAACACTGAATAGAGCAGTGACTGGAACCCAGAGCTCCTCCATCCCAAATGAATGACCTGGTCATTAAATAATAGTCATCAATACAGTTACACCTTTGCTTTTATCCAACAAATATTTAATTAGCCCTGAATGAGACTGAGGAGCCCTCAGTTTAGAATAATCAATCAATGAGTATTAAGCATGCCTGACTAGATGTTTTGAGGTGCAGGTTCAAGTTCCTTCAGGTAGAGGAAGGAACCAAACTTGGAATACCACCATTTGGATGGTCATTTTTGCCCAGTAAAAGATACCACAACTTTGACCATCTTGTATGTCAGGAAATGTTTTCTGAGAACGGTTTATTCTGAAGAAAAGCTAGTTGAGAAAACACCTAGACAGTGACTGCTGACAGGATACAAAACCAACCCTGCCAGGTCTCAGGCAAACCATGAATGTGATTTGGTTTTGCTACACCTCTGCTGGTCAGCTACAGAGTGTTTGAGTCTGTTCTCTTGTTGTGACACCTACAGGTATAGCCTGACCAAGTCTATTCATTTACACTTTCTGCTTCATAAAACAGAATTAGTACATCCAAACTGTTGGCTGGGACTAGTCCCTGGCCTTTGCTAACTCCTGAACCATGCCCAGGGTTGATTTGGAAGAGGTTGATTTGGTCTGGGTCAAAAAATTATGGGGATCATTCTAGCATTTTAACAGAAGAGAGAAATGAGTCCACATGTTCAGGCTGATGCTCTTGCATTCTTACTAGCTTGTACTGGTATTGGGGAAGCCTGCGGTATGAGTATTTAGAGTGAATATTTCTGTGACTATTAGCTGAAGGCCTCTCCAAGGTGAAGCAGTAACAGAGGAAAACTTTTGTGGATTTAGATTTGGATTTCAATGCCTGTAGAAGCAAGTAAATAAGGCTTATGCCCTTTAAACAATTTTACAATCTATAGTCCTTACTCGGCCAGATGGCTCGAGACAGACCTTGGACTACAACATAGCTTAGAATATCACAGGTTGGTTAAAATGACTTTTGGTATCAGTTCGGGGATCAATGTGGCCTTCAGTGACAGCAGTGAAATAGCCTATGACTTTCCAGCTAGCTTTGACCAAAGGGCATTCAAGTAGCTTATGCCATCTAAGCTGATGCCTCAGGGACATTGCGACTTACATGTGCCCGGCTGAATTACATTTGCCTCCTTGTTTTCCACTTGCAATGTGAGGAACAGTCTGCCACTTTCCTCCTCTCTGCTACTCCAGGTGTCTACTCTGGTCAGTGAAGGGTCAGAGGCAAAATTTTACCTAATTAGTTGTTTCTCCTCCAGTATATCACAACGAGTAAAATAAAACCAGCGTATTCTGCTAAGTCTATCTTTTCTGTACTCAAAAGGCATGCAAGGAAGAATGGGAGAAAAAGGCATCCTTACCCTTCTGTGTTTTAAGATTTTGATGAGTAAGGGCTGTAACTACACTTGGTAAAACAATTTACTTTGAGATAATTTCTCAACAAGAGGTCAGATTTGTAGCTCTGGTGAAATTTTCCACACACTGAGGGTTTGCATTTTTTTTCATTCAAAACAAGGCAAAGTGAACATCTATCCATCTCTGATGTGTAGCTGAACTGAGGGGGTAAAAAAAAATCAGTTCACTGAAAAATGTAAACTTTCTGTGAAAAATGTCAACACAATCTTCATTTTTGTCATTTATTGAAAATTTCCCTAGAGACAGTGTTCACTCCCAATCCACCTCCTTCTGTTTTCCCAAACAGTGGCCACCTATCCAAGTGGGGAAAAAGAACAAAACCTATTTGTAGGAAAAAAATTACAGAAATTGCGGCACTGTCTGGGACCTGTTACTCTCACCTTCAACTTACCTTCTCAAAATACCTCCTAAGAGGGAAGCATTGAGGCATTCTGGTGGTGAAAGGCGCCTCTTCACCTCTGCAATGGTCACTTTGTACTTCGAAGTGGAGCTGAGTAGAGATAAACGACCAGGAACAGAGCAGAACAGGTCGGTGGGGTTAACAACGCAGGTGCCACCTACAAAACAAAATTTAGAGTGGGGGAAACTTCATATGCCATGTTTTGACAAATTCAGTCATGAAGAACAATTCTATTGTTCATCTGTGTTGGTTTTATTGTTGGTTTTGTTTGGGTTTTTGGAGTATTTTGGGGAGGTGGTTTTGTCTTTGTTTTTAAATATTTCATCACATTGTTGTTTTGAGAAAGATGAATGGATTGAAAATTCAGTCTGGGAAAAGTAAACTATTAGATCTTAAAAACTTTACAGTCAAATTAGATCAAATGGCTACCCCATGTGATTTCATGCTCAGTAAAAATTACATATCGTCAATCTTTTGAGTCTTGTATCTAGTATGATTAACAACATAAGATTGAACCAAATTCAGGTATCACTCAGGATTTTAAAAATTACAGTTGGTGAAAAATTTAGGACATTGGTTCTAAAGAGAAATGTTCATTTTAATTCTCATAGCAGAATTTAGGATAACAAAAATGCAATGGCATTATAGGTTTGCAGTGATTTGCAGGCAGAACAACTTTCCACACCTTTGAACTCTCATATACTCCTTCTAAAGTTAGGTCAAACCCTCAGCTGATGTTAATGATTGAAATCTATTGAGCTACAACAGTTTATCTCAGGTTAGTTCTGGAATTGTTTATTTCTTGAAAGTGGCAATTACTTGGCCTATGTCTAAAACTGCCGAATGATCACCAAATCTTTCAATGAAGACTGTGATCAATAACTCCTCAGGCAAAATCGAGCTTTTAACTTAGTTAGTATGTGAGAGAGCAAGAGAGAAAACTTTCTCTGCAACTGATCCAGGAGGATAGTACAAACTGCCAGAAAAAAAAATCTTAGCGACTAGCACGTACTTTATCACCAAGAGCAAAACACTTTTCTTTGACCTGCCCTCTCCAATCTAACTACAATAGAAAATTCTGTAGAAGACATAAATCTTACCACTGCATGCACAGTTTTTCCCTGGGGGAAAGATGAGAAAAAAGAATGACCTGCACATAACAGTGATATAAAATATCATGTAATTCAATGCACTACTAGAAGGACTTCAGATGGTTTCTGTGAGGACAATGATATGAAGTCCTTACAGCAGAATGAATCTGTGCTCATCATGCATGTTTAAAGGAAAGATACTGTATTGTTTAAACTATCATGATAATTTCTTCTTTCTTCTGAACAGCTTAATAATTTTGCACAGCAAGAGCTTACTTTATTATGCTTAAAAAATTTAGTTTGTAATCTAAATTCCCTAATGAGAAGGGAAGGGAAGGGAAGGGAAGGGAAGGGAAGGGGAAGAGAAGAGAAGAGAAGAGAAGAGAAGAGAAGAGAAGAGAAGAGAAGAGAAGAGAAGAGAAGAGAAGAGAAGAGAAGAGAAGAGAAGAGAAGAGAAGAGAAGAGAAGAGAAGAGAAGAGAAGAGAAGAGAAGAGAAGAGAAGAGAAGAGAAGAGAAGAGAAGAGAAGAGAAGAGAAGAGAAGAGAAGAGAAGAGAAGAGAAGAGAAGAGAAGAGAAGAGAAGAGAAGAGAAGAGAAGAGAAGAGAAGAGAAGAGAAGAGAAGAGAAGAGAAGAGAAGAGAAGAGAAGAGAAGAGAAGAGAAGAGAAGAGAAGAGAAGAGAAGAGAAGAGAAGAGAAGAGAAGAGAAGAGAAGAGAAGAGAAGAGAAGAGAAGAGAAGAGAAGAGAAGAGAAGAGAAGAGAAGAGAAGAGAAGAGAAGAGAAGAGAAGAGAAGAGAAGAGAAGAGGAATAGCTCACTTCAGACAAGAACCTAACACCTTTACTTCATCTTCTTCCACATGTAATCCCTCTTAAAATTCAGATGACTATGCATGTTTCAGTTTTAGCAGAGATGGAGGAATATAACTGAAGGATGAAACTTCATTAAAGGCAGACTACTGCTTGCTTACATAAGGCAAACAGAATTTCTTTCCAAATATTTCAGCTCTTGAAGGTATATTTAAACATTTGTGCTGACAGCAAAACCAGAAAAGAACATCTCTTGGTATAAATCCCAGATGGGTGAGATCCTGACTTGGTACAGGAGGATATTTTATTGCTTTTCTAATTATGCTACAAGGTAGATATTAATGTCCACTTCTTAGACACAATGTAGAGACAAATCATGCATCACCAAACATATAGACACATCAAAGGCACTTATGTACAGTTTTGCACAGCTCAAAGCTACAATTCATGAGCTTATATGCTCAAATACAGAAATCTGGTGCCATGTGCCTGAAATTTTTGGAGTTTTTTTATTGTTTTGGTGTTTGGGCTTAGGGGTTTTGGGGTTTTTTATTTCTCATATCTGAGGCAGGGCTGCACAGAAACCTGTAAGTATTTTCAATATTTTGAAAGTATCTGTAAGTATCAATATTTTAAATTTTCAAACTTCTGGTCTGTCAGGTACATTTGTGAAGAGTGTTAACACTGAGTAGATTTGTTTGTTTGGTATCTCCTGCCACAAAATATATATACACACCTGTACATATATACATGTCAAGAAAACAGTAGCAATGTGTACATATTTATTTACTTCAAGAAGTCGATAAATTACATAATAAATGAGACTGTATTGAAATCAGTGTCATATTGAAATTTATCTTCTTGCCAGGTTAAGCCAGTATGTGCATCATTTATGCCAGATAAATAATTGTTCCTTTAATCCAAAAACCTGTTACCCGGCAGCTGCTGCTACCCTAAGCAGAATTTACTGGAACAATTCTCATTACTATTTAGTAGAAGGTTGTTTACAGTCTAAAATATTTTAAAATATCATGTCTATGGAACAGGATCTTAAACAAAGTAATTCCATGTGAGCCAGGTATGGGTTAAAAGTAAAAGAAAACAACAAGTCTAAGTCATTTGCTTTCCAGAAACATGGAGAAAAAGTTGCAAATTACAAGAAGGCAAAATCTGTTGCATACAATTATTTCACTATATTAATTATTCATTGACACAGCAACAGAGAGCCTTTCTAGATGAAGCTATGTCTTTGTCACAAGCTGTGTGCAGTTTTGAAGGCACAGATCTCCTACCACAAACACCACCTTGGACAGGAAATGGATGGTCCTGGCCTTTACACCAGGTGGTAAACAGAAAAAGGGATGATGGTAAACAAAGGGAGGGCTGCTGGAAAAAGAAAGGAAATGATAAATGTAACCACACTGGAAGATGAAGGGTTAGGTTTCTTGCCAAACACACACACTTCAGTGTACTTCTTCCCCCGTATTCTGATCATGCATTAGAGTGGACAAATGATTTTGTGAAGAGATATATGTCAATGGGGAGGGGACAAGGCATTTTTTATGTTGTGCTAAACAGGACTGGCAACAACCAGATTTCTTTCCCACCAACCCAGTGCCACTGTAGGTGTTGTTGGAAAAGCCAATCCTTGCTCAGCTGTTGACCTGGTCTTGCCATAACAGGGTATTTGAGAGGTGGGATGCTATTAGACACCAGCTGATGAAGCAGAAGAAAATGCCCTCAAAAATAGAATGGAAATAATGCCTGTCATGAGTCTAGCAGTTCAACCTGGACATCCCTATTCCTCTTGGCAGATTTTAATTGCTTTAGAAATCTTTACAGACCAACTTCTGGTGCCGGGATACATAAGACACCATCAGCTCGTCAGATGAAGAGCCCCACGCATAGCCACAGTAAAGTAATGTGCCCACCAGCATACATAGAAAGGGAAAACTGTGGCCATTGCTCCCTGACCAGGTACCCACACCACTGGTCCTATTGCAAGGCTAGGAAAAAGAATGAGGGCAAGCAGAAGGTGAGGTAACTGGTAGGATCATCCAGCAGATTGCCTCAGCAATTTCATGCTCCGAGCACCACATGAAATGGGCCTGTGAATGTCAAAAACACTCTTTTTAGAGCAACTGTTTATTCCCACAGGAAAGTGATTGCGTGGTCTGGTCTGACATCATCTGTTGCCATAAGATACTGTGTTAGAGATGACTGTAAATGGTGATAGTTGTACTCTTAAAGCCACAGAGATCTAAAGACACAAGCAAGACAAGATCTGGACAAAGAGGGAATACCTTTTATTGCAACTGATAGATTTGGGGGGAAAAAAAAGAAAGACGGGGAGCTTTCAGGCACACAAACATTTCTTCAGGGCTTCTCTTTTATCCAGCTCCATTCAATTATTTCTCCTTTCTTCATCACAGAGTTTTACCTTCTGATCTATCAACTTCATGTTGATTTCAATAAATATGTTTGTTTGAAAAGAAAAAGATGGGAGAGGAAGCGATACACTTTGTGCAGCAGACCACATTTGGGTGAAAGACCTGGGACCCGATACTGCCATATACTGAATCGCCTCAGCTACCCAGTCTCCTAAGAAGATAATATATAACCTGATCTAGTTGAAGATGTCCCTGCTCATTGCATGGGGGGTGGACTAGATGACTTTTAGAGGTCCTTTCCAACCCTAATCATTCCATTCCATTCCATTCCATTCCATTCCATTCCATTCCATTCCATTCCATTCCATTCCATTCCATTCCATTCCATTCTTATTGTCAAGTGGTCTGAGGGAAAGGATAGCAAAAGACTACGTTCATTTTTCTTTGCTTACTTTTAGGGCTCAATCCTTTTACCTCTAGCTGACTGGTTCACGCTCAGCACAATGTACTCCTTTGTGTGAACTGTGTTTTTGCTTTGTTTCCCAAGCCTAGGATGAACAAAAGTTAGGCTATGTGGTACTGCAAAAGGTAGTCACAGCAAACATCGGGAGAGCATTTTCCCTTCTTTATTCCTGTCTCCCCATCAAATAGCACAAGTCAGTACAAAATGCCAACACAAGCTGATGATGGGTTGTGTAGATGACAGCAGCGAGAACAGAGCCATACTCTAACCCAACAGTCTTGTCAACACAATGAAAATCCCAATAACGCATGATGCAAAAAGAGCTTGGTCTGTTTTGATTATAGGTTTCCCTTTGTAAGATGAAGAAGACAATAGGGTGGCTGGAGTAAGATGATTTATTCTGATT